ATCAAGTATAAGGCTTGGTAGACACCCAGCCCATGCTTCATATCTCTTTTGGTGGGAGCTCACTGTCTCAAGCAAGAGAGGTCAGTAGATACTTTCATATATTGTTCTGAAATCTGCCTCTTTGGACTTGTACTCATTGGTCCAGTGGCACTTACGCAGTTAATTAATTGTGGGCCTAGTAGGTGGCAGACTGTGCTAAAAGCTGAGGATAAAGAAAGAGGAGACCTGGTGTGGAACTGGCTCTTGACTGAGCCATATTAGACGAGAGCACTCAGATTTAGCCGGATGCCTTTTACACAGAGGGAGATGTGTTTAGTCTTTTTAGAATCCTTGTCCTGCTCCTCTTACACTGTGCTTCTCCACCTTTACTTCCTGTGGTCCCCATGGGTCCTCGGTGGCACCCTCCCATCCTAGGAGTGGGTATCTTCAGTCAGCATGCCCTCCAAGCTTAGTGGCTCAGCTGTCTCTGCCAGTTCGTAGCCTAGTCTGCCTCCCTTTCTCCATCCTGTTAGCCATAGGCAAGTCCACTAGCTGGGTGGGGCCCATTTTTCACCTCAGGTGAAGCTCACATCTTCCCCTTGATGTTCTGAGGACTCATCTGCTAGGTTCGGGAGGGTTCAGCTGAGGATCCCTTGTTTTTCCATTGAGCCTTGCTGCAGCTTCCTTAACTGTCAAGAACCAAGTTTCCTACTTGTTTCAGCCCTTCCTCTCCTTGCTCTTAAAAGACTGGTTCCTGAGCCTAATGTATGCTTGGACTCAGGCTCCCTGCTCCAATTACCTTCTCATACTGCTGTCTTTATATTGTTAGAGATTATAGGTAACCACATGGTATAAACATTTGTTTTGCTCCATGAGCAATTTAGAGAATTTTTAAAGGTAATTTTGACAATATATTATTTTCAATGCCTACTCTGATTTATAATCTGGACTCTGTGATAAAGGAAATAGGAAAATTCAGGTTATTATTTGAATCACATCTCAAAATGATATTTTACTTAGTGAAATCCTGTTCATCTACCAAAGCCTAGTTCAAATCCCCCTCTACCTACCTTCATCCCTCAGTATTCAGTTATTTTTCCCTACTCAAGATGTCCTGTTAACACTTCTGTGTGGGTCAGTCACGTTAACAAAATCATGATTCATGACTTCAATATTTTTGGTTTCCCCCCTTGCTTACAACAGATGTTGCGGAGATGTGTTAAAAATCATTAGCACAGCACTGAGGCCTTCTCCCTAATGTAATCAAAATAATTGCTGTGCCTTGTAAAAGAGAAAGTAGACTGCAGTTCTGTTCTCTGTCTCTCTCACTTCCTCCTCTCCTTCCCCTCATCCTTCTCTTTCTCCTCTTTTTCTTCTTTTATCTTATGCTTTCTCAGGAACTTATAATCTGATATGTTTAATTGTGGGAATCTTTACAGCTCTCTTTCTACCGTAAGATCATAAATTCCTTGAGGGTTTTTCCTAACTTTTGTATCCTCCAGAGTGTCTACACAGGAAGGGCTATGTCTTAAATGATCAGTAAATACTGTGTTTGGTGTTGCCATGAATCAAATGAGTCTTGTGCTCCATATTGGTTTGGGATCTTGAAGTCAAGTTTTATAGAAAACTGTGTCATACATATTGAACAATTTTGCCTCATTGTGTTGCTAAGTGAAATAATTTTTACAACTTTATTATATACATTAGAAACAGGATTTTGAGATGGTTGCATTCAGTACAAAATAGCAGCCAAACTACGGCTACCATAAATTACAAATTTTGATCACATGCTTATTCACCTATACCGATCAGTCTAGGTAGTATATACTATTAGAAAAATTCAATAGTTAGGGCGCCTGGGTGGCTCAGTTGGTTAAGCGACTGCCTTCGGCTCAGGTCATGATCCTGGAGTCCCTGGATCGAGTCCCGCATCGGGCTCCTTGCTCAGCAAGGAACCTGCTTCTCCCTCTGACCCTC